ACACACACACACACACACACACACACACACACACACACACACACACACACACACACAAATCAGCTCTTCTTCTGACAAACTTAAGTAATTGCTCCTTACATGTTTGCAAGTTCCAGCTCAAGTCTTTCTGAATTGATTTGTTTATGTTTTCATTTTATGTTGCTAGGTAACACTGCTTTGGCTGTTTTCAGGGTCCTTGGAAGCATGTCATTTGCACAATGGTTGCTTGGAATAAAAAGAGGATTGCTTTGTTGTTTGAGAAACAATTTTTCACTGTTGAAAAGAATTCTGAGGGGTGTCTTTGGTGCAAACTTCCTTTTATCTCCTGTTACTCTTGTACAAGTTCAAACAATGCATTTTACGCCTCACAACTTTAAATAGGCTATATCAGCCAGGAAAAGTGCAGTCTTGGAGCCCTTCAGTTGCTTCGAAGTCTGTCGTTTAATCATTATCCCCCTAGCTCATTAAAAATTTACTTAAGAATGACATAGTTATGAGTCATGAAGGCGTATATTTACATTGAAAGTAGCAGCGTTGGTCTTCGAAATAGGTTACTTCGTTATTTTTCTAATGGTGTTCTGTTGTTAAGGTTTATCAGAATAGTGCCTTTTTTAATGGGATGGAATGAAAAAGTGTTAAAGCTTAGTAATGTTTGTTACATAGTATTGATGAAACTCTAAATTGATTAAAAAAGCAACCCTGCACTAATTGGTAAAAAATGACCTCTTTTTGAGAAACAAAAAACGTTTTCATTGGTGCTGGTGGTTACGCCTGTATGGTTGCACTTATGAGGATAGTTAAAGCGACTTAGTTTGACCATCTCGTCCTCTCATATGTGTTAAAACTCTTGAAGGTATTATAAGAGCTTCATCCTGTTCCATCAAAGTTCCACTAAGATGCTTTTTCAAATCATCTCATTAAACATATTTTACTGGTACCAGGTAGACTGGCACCTTCTCGTTTTTGTTGATCTGTGACACGTATATTTTTCAGCTTAGGTTTGGGAATACAGAATTATTATTAAGGATGAAGTGGTATGTTCTTTGAAATGTTCCCCATTTTTTTTTTTTTTTTGAGTGGCGTGAAATCACAATATTCACTAACGCTATCACTTGTAACAGGCTAGAAGAATGCTCTCCTTTCCGGAATTCAGATGAAGGGTTAGTCATTGTAGTGAATGTAGAGTTGTCAGTTTTTACAAGTTTTTTTTTTCCAGACAAAAGTTCATGTAAACTACCAGAGTGATTCCATGGCTGTACGCTGTTGGCGTTTAAGAAATGTTTCATGTTCTTTAAGAACCTCCTGTTTAAAAGATTGTTCTTGGTGTAGATAAAATCAACTGCTCAGTGTAAGACTCTGTCGTATGTCACTTTTCAAATTGGTGTGTGGCAGTGTTTTACACTACAAAGCAGTTGATAATATGTTAACTGAAGTTTTTTTGGGGCGACTATTGTCTCAGCTATATAAGAGCCCTTTATGGTTGTCTTGAGCCTATTGATCATTTGAGGGTTGTTAAAAATATTGCTGACTGGTAAAGAGTTTTGTGTGTCACTGGGTTTTGTTTGCCTTTTGTTGGCGCTTATCAGGTGTGTGAGATTAAAAACCACTTTGTTTCGTTGATGTCGTTTGCAAAAAGGGGAGAGAAACCAAAGTCATTTATGAAATGATTGTGGATGAGTAAAAGGTACAGAGTTGAAGAACTGAAATGTTGAAGGGGAATTTAGTCTGTTATGTTTACATAAAAATGTAATTGGAAGCCATGTTGAAAACCAAAAAAGAAAAGAAGAAAGCCTGTTGGTGACAATAATGGTAGTATCTATAGTTTTGTCAGAAATATTGAATGGGGACTGTGTAATATTTTGTGTAATGGAATTTGTCAATATGCCCTTTTGATTTTGCTTGACTTTGATCTATTTCCCACTCTTTTGACATAGTTTTGTCATAGTCACATTATGAGTGCCAAAGCGAATTTCTTACTCCCAATTTAAACTTCTTATTTTATTGTGCTTCACTATCACTGTCTTATATTCAAACTTCTGTTTTGTTTTCTGTATTCTTCATATAAAGACATTTATTTTGTTTTCATTTTGCTTATTGCAAGTTACAATAGCATTTATCAATTTATCATTTCAGTGGCCTTCAGTGTGATCAGATAGTTCACGAAATTTGTTATCTGTTTCATGTTACATGTTTATTGATACTAATGTTTTCTTCTATCTGTGAGTGATATAATTTGAAATTAGACATAATCACAAGCTTCTTTTTAATAGTTTGTGAGTGTGTGTATTTATGTACCCCATGTATCCTTCTTGTTACGGAGAAAAGGACTTGCTTCACGTGATCACACAGAATTAGTGTAGTGTTCTTTGTTCTGTAACTTTGAGTGAAAGTCGTACCAATGGTGTAAGTGGGGGAATCATTTGTTGAACCTATTTGTATCGGTTGACGATGTAGTCTTATTGTTTTGTTTATTATTATCACCTTCAGTAGTTTCCTTTATATATAGAGTTGATTATTTTTCTGCTTTGTTCCATTTTTTTGTTTTGTTTTTGTTTCTTTAAAAAGAAAAACATTGTGCAACTAGCTGGCCAGTTTACCTTGCTTGGAGGGTGTTTTTTTTTCACTTACCTTTTGACTAATGTTATTTAATTGTTTGGACAGGGATTTTGAATGAATTGAATGCCTCAGTTTTGTGTCTAAGTTTGGAATATTTGTTAAAGGTCTTGTATGTTGAAGTAATGAGTTACTTTTTGGTTTATTTTATTCTATGGCAAAATCAAGATTTCTTATTCTATGCCAGTTCTTGGGAATGTGTGCTATTTGTCATGGGAACCAGGGAACACTACAAATCAGTTATTCCTTTCTGGTATGATTATGAGGGTGGTTGGAAGGTGTAGCTGTTTATTCGGTTGTACTTGTTTTTAGAAACCAAATGAGGTAGTGCTTGATGAAGCCCACGTGGGACGCTCAGTGTTAAAAACAATCAGGAAACGACATGCAGTTTTTGGGACTCATAAATAGACATAAGGGTCTTGAACATCTAGCTCTCACTGGCAAAATTGAGGGCAAGCGAGGCATGGTAGGCCCCGAACAACATACTTAGGGAACCTAAGCAAATGGGTAACAGGGAAAGATCAGGGAAACGTAGCTTTTTTGAGAGCATCCGAGCAAAAGAATGAACGGAGAACCATGATCGCCAATGTCTGTCGCAGATTTGGCACTGGATGATGATGATGACTTGTTTCTGTTTTGTCTCTTTTTTTTGGTCTTGTTTTATATTTTGCAGGTGTTGCATAAATATTTTAACATTTGCATACATAAAGACATAAAGTTGCAAGTTGATCAGAAATGTGATGTGTTTGCCATCAGAATTGGGATGTGATTTTAAAAATTATTCCTTCAATTCACAGAGCATCGGCAAAGGATCGTTATGGTGCATCGATCCAGCTTATCGACCCAACCTTCTCCAAGCACTGCGGAAAACACCCTACCACCCTTATCATCAGCTTCAGATGACATCCACACAACCTCCAAGCTATATCAATATGCAGTATCAGAGTCTTCCAGGGTGAGTGCCTTTCTGTTCAATCACGCAGTGGAACACATTTTCCTGTTTAAAGTTATCAAATTTTAAAATCTTTTTTTCTTTTTTCTTTCGTGCTGGTTTCTGAGATCTTTTTATTGAATAAAACTGGGACATCTGAAAGTTGTTTGGTTGGAAGGTGCCAGTGGTGTGTCTTTCTTTTACTTATACTATCCCTTTAAAAAAAAAAGAAGATGTGTTTTGTAACCAATACGTTGTCTAAGAACTTCTGTCTAGTTCTAGTAGTTAATTGGGAAGTGGGGTTATGTTTTCATAGAGGCCAATGTAGTTCGGTGTAATAGTAAAACTGTTGATTCTGCAATAGATCTGCAGGCTGGTGAATATTTTTCTTCTGTTTACTTTATGAATATACGCAATGGAAATATCTCTTCACTGATTTGAAAAAAAAAGAAAGCTTGAGACCTTCATCTTTCGTTCTTTCTTTCTTTTTTTAAATTTTTAATTTTTCAATACTATTTTTCACACATGTTTTTTAAAATATTGTTCACATTCTCCTTTTTGTCATGACCATTTCACTTTTCTTCATCTTTTATCGTTAAACTAGTCTTTTATTTGTGTTTGCGTGCTGTATATAATCTGTGGCTTTTTCTGTTTCAGTGGTGGCCGCACAGTTCTTCCTCTGACACAGAGGCCAATACCAAACACAGTCTCCCCACGTGAGTGTTTCCTCTTTATTTGCAGTGTATTGATAATTTTAGAGATTATTTATATTACTGTCCTCTAATTAATGCAACTGACGAGAACTTTCAACCTGTCTTTTCATGGCATTTCCTGTGGGTGGTTGATGGGTGCTCTGGTGTGGTTTGCTCCTTCTTTCCTACCAAACATCTATTGTCCTGATCTCTCCTCCTTTTTTGTGTTTGTTACTCTCTTGTAACAACACTTCTAATCTTCGGCACTAATATATGACCTTATAGTGTTTCAAGTGCTGTTAAACTCTTACTAAAACTAAAATTCGCATTTCCTGAAAGGCAGGTCCATGCATTGCTTAAAAGGTAACAAAGAGAAAGTATTTATTAATATTATGAAGATGCATCATTTTTATTGCTTTTGCTTTTCAATAACTCATTGTGTTGGATATTTTAACAAAGCAACAAAGCAGCCCTGTGAATTTTCATTTGTTCCGAGTGTTGTAAAGTCTTCTGACATAATAATAGTCGTAAAGCATGTAGAACATGCTGAACATGGATATTATCATATACACTATGTAATTATTATTAATGTTATTGTTGCTATTTCTTCCTCAGATCTTTTTCCATTTTTGAGCCGAAGACTGGCACAAACTTCCTTTGATGTCGGTGAGTTGATAGAATTTTAGCTGGGAATGTTCTGATAAAAACAGTGCACGTTACAAAAAAAATTGTCTATTTTAGAGAATTAAAAGATGGTACATTGAAGATGATGCTTGCTCTCTCTCTCTCTCTCTCTCTCTCT